TGCTTCCGTCAGTTTCTCCGGTATCAATTCCTGTTACTGTTCCTGTTACTGGCCCTGTTATTATTCCTGTACCTGGTCTTGTTAGCATTCCTGTTACTGGCCCTATGGCTGGTCTTGTTACCATCTTAAAATTGAGATTCTTGCAAACCTGTGAACTCCTGTTTGATGGAGATTTAGTGATGTTATTCTGGTTACTACAAACATGGCACTCTAGTGAAATGCCGTGGGTGTACTTGGCTCTTAAAGGAACCTGGTTTCGGAACATGACTGAATGATAGGCCGGAGTGGCTGGTTAGACGACATTCCACTCTCATTGTGGCTACACCCGGTCACACATGTTTTGTTAACCAAGTCCGAGCCGCTTTACTCCTGCTAATGCTGTAAATGTCACACAGAAAATGACAGCAATCGGAGCAAGGAATTCCTGCTGTCTGATTTTTCCAACTGCGAAACAAAAGTACTGAATCTGGCTTGTTTGGGGTTTAGTGTAGGCGTAGTGCTGACTTTAAATAGACATTGATTATATCCCTTCTTTAAAAGGCCATTGTGGGGGATGTTTGTCAATGGTACACAGTTATTTGTGTGGACCAAAGATCCACATAGTATTTCTCATAGAAAGGTACCTCTACTATACAGGGGATAGAAAGGACCGGTACCTCTCCTACACCGGGGATAGAAAGGACCCGGTACCTCTCCTACACCGGGGATAGAAAGGACCCGGTACCTCTCCTACACGCGGGGATAGAAAGGACCCGGTACCTCTCCTACACCGGGGATAGAAAGGACCCGGTACCTCTCCTACACCGGGGATAGAAAGGACCCGGTACCTCTCCTACACCGGGGATAGAAAGGACCCGGTACCTCTCCTACACCGGGGATAGAAAGGACCCGGTACCTCTCCTACATCGGGGATAGAAAGGACCCGGTACCTCTCCTACACAGTGGATACTATCCTATTACGGGGGAAATAAAGGTTCCGGTACTCTCCTATACTGGGGGAATAAACGTTTCGGCACTCTTCTACACTGGGGGAATAAAGGTTCCCATACTCTCCTATACTGGGGGAATAAAGGTTCCTGTACTCTCCTATATTGGGTGAATAAAGGTTCCGTTACTCTCCTATACTGGGGGAATAAAGGTTCCGTTACTCTCCTATACTGGGGGAATAAAGGTTCTGGCACTCTTCTAAACTGGGGGAATAAAGGTTCCTGTACTCTCCTATGTTGGGTGAATAAAGGTTTCGTTACTCTCCTATACTGGGGGAATAAGGTTCCGTTCTCTCCTATACTGGGGAATAAAGGTCCGGTACTCTCCTATACTGGGGGAATAAAGGTTCCGGTACTCTCCTATACTGGGGGAATAAAGGTTCCGGTTCTCTCCTATACTTGGGGAATAAAGGTTCCGGTACTCTCCTATACTGGGGGAATAAAGGTTCCGGTACTCTCCTATGCTGGGGGAATAAAGGTTCTACTCTCCTATACTGGGGAATAAAGGTTCCGGTACTCTCCTATACTGAAGGAATAAAGGTTCCGGTACTCTCCTATACTGGGGGAATAAAGGTTCCGGTACTCTCCTATACTGGGGGAATAAAGGTTCCGGTACTCTCCTATACTGGGGGAATAAAGGTTCTGGTACTCTCCTATACTGGGGGAATAAAGGTTCCGGTACTCTCCTATACTGGGGGAATAAAGTTTCTGGTTCTCTCCTATACTGGGAGAATAAAGGTTCCGGTACTCTCCTATACTGGGGGAATAAAGGTTTAGGTTCTCTCCTATACTGGGGGAATAAAGGTTCCGGTACTCTCCTATACTGGGGGAATAAAGGTTCCGGTACTCTCCTATACTGGGGGAATAAAGGTTCCGGTACTCTCCTATACTGAAGGAATAAAGGTTCCGGTACCCTCCTATACTGGAGGAATAAAGGTTCCGGTACTCTCCTATACTGGGGGAATAAAGGTTCCGGTACTCTCCTATACTGGGGGAATAAAGGTTCCGGTACTCTCCTATACTGGGGGAATAAAGGTTCTGGTACTCTCCTATACTGGGGGAATAAAGGTTCCGGTACTCTCCTATACTGGGGGAATAAAGTTTCTGGTTCTCTCCTATACTGGGAGAATAAAGGTTCCGGTACTCTCCTATACTGGGGGAATAAAGGTTTAGGTTCTCTCCTATACTGGGGGAATAAAGGTTCCGGTACTCTCCTATACTGGGGGAATAAAGGTTCCGGTACTCTCCTATACTGGGGGAATAAAGGTTCCAGTACTCTCCTATACTGGGGGAATAAAGGTTCCGGTACTCTCCTATACTGGGGGAATAAAGGTTCTGGTTCTCTCCTATACTGGGGGAATAAAGGTTCCGGTACTCTCCTATACAGGGGAATAAAGGTTCCGGTACTCTCCTATACTGGGGAATAAAGGTTCCGGTACTCTCCTATACTGAAGGAATAAAGGTTCCGGTACTCTCCTATACTGGGGGAATAAAGGTTCCGGTACTCTCCTATACTGGGGGAATAAAGGTTCCGGTACTCTCCTATACTGGGGGAATAAAGGTTCTGGTACTCTCCTATACTGGGGGAATAAAGGTTCCGGTACTCTCCTATACTGGGGGAATAAAGTTTCTGGTTCTCTCCTATACTGGGAGAATAAAGGTTCCGGTACTCTCCTATACTGGGGGAATAAAGGTTTAGATTCTCTCCTATACTGGGGGAATAAAGGTTCCGGTACTCTCCTATACTGGGGGAATAAAGGTTCCGGTACTCTCCTATACTGGGGGAATAAAGGTTCCCATACTCGCCTATACTGGGGGAATAAAGGTTCCGGTACTCTCCTATACTGGGGGAATAAAGGTTCCCATACTCGCCTATACTGGAAGAATACCCATAGAATACAGTTGGCCAGACCATCAGAAGGCTAATTAAGATGGCGGTGATATGGGGACCCAGTCCGACAAGGTGATCATTGAGGGGTTAAGATGTGAAGCCAATGTGGTGAAGCCAGGATTTTCGAGGTCTGTGTGACAGATGTGTATCAGACCGTCTCCAATTGATAGATTTTGTCAGCAGCGCTGTCTTCGGTTCTTTCAAATGGTATCTGCTTTTTGGCAAGCAGTGGGGGGGGGGGGTTTCCTCTCATCTGCGCTTTCCCCCCAGAGAGACATCTCTCTTACTGAATGTAGAGGCCTTTAAGGTGGGACCAGGCACAGTGTGTCTCGTCCATGAGAGGACCATTGTGGATTCAGTTTATTCCTTTGTTCTAAATGTATGGTTCACAGAGGGTTAATGTCACCAGGTAATGATTAAATCTGCAATAAATATGTTTTCTGCGATAATGAATGAATTCTCTTTAAATTTCCGCAGGGGGCAGGGATGATAGTTTAACCTCATTCCTGAGTTATAAAATCTGAATGATTAGAACTGGATTTACATGATCATTGCGAGCAGTTACAAATTAACCCATCGTCTCCCACAGACATAACCTGGGACTGTACAACTAGGGTGTACTGCATGCTCCCAATTACAGGCAAAGCTGGGTTAACCCTATGCCTCATTCACTGAAATCGTTAAATCATGGTCCGCAACCAGTGTCTTGGGCTCTCTTGAAGTTTCCTGTGAGAATGTGGATAGCTGTGAATTCCATCGAGAGAGGAAATTATTAAATAAAACAACAGAGACGGTAAGTGAATGGGTGAGAAATAAACTGGCTCCGAGTTACATGTGTGAACTGGTTGAACCGGAATTAGTCACCTGGTAGCCACCATGGCGTCTCAGCTCAATCCATCAATTTGGGAATTTAGCCATCACGAACGAGACAGGAGATATGTTAAACAAAGAGAAAATTATGAAATCTTACCGTGAGATCTTTGTGTCTCCAATAGTCCTGCTGTATGAAGAACCAATCAGAAAGCAGCAACGATCATCTCACTATGGCGACCCCTGGACATCGCCATCATTAGTAACACGGCACTTGGTACCTTGTCCCTGTATCTCTTATTACCGGACTTGAATACATCCTAGATTTTATTTAACCCATTCCATATTTTAATGGATAACATCATTAGCACGTCTCTAGAATTTTTATTTTTATATTTGTGTAATACAGTTTACTATCTAACGTTTCTTCCCATCTGTTTTTTGATTCCTCGTTCTCCCTTTCTTTAACCCCTTGACTCAGGGACATATTTGCTGTGAGGCAAACAAGGAATTTGCCTTGGGCGGCACTTTCCAGAGGGCGGTAAAAAACGCTGCCCCCAAATGCCCAGGCAAATATCTTGTTAGCCTGGCGGCTAACTGACAATTCAGGCAGGTGGGCGGCTGACGCTGGCGAGGGAGCACTGATTAGTGAGCTCTGTGCTCAGATCCCTTGTGCGCCGCAGAGTGATGCCAGGAGCCAGAATATGACGTCATATTCCGGCTCCCGGCATCACTTTGTAGCGCGAGGGAGCTGAGCAGAGACAGCTCACTAATCAGTGCTCCTTCGCCTGCGCCACGCACGCCTGGATTACAATTAGCCGCCCAAGTGCCTGCATGCCTGCCTCCCTCCCTGCAAGAAGACCCACTGGACCCCAGGTAAAAAAAAATCCACCCAGCTCTTCCAAAGGTAGTTAGGCTGGGTGGATTTAAACTAAAATAGAAAAAGTAATCTTTATTAATGTTTGGGTGGGGGGGGGGTTGTGTGTCTGGCTGTCAGTGTGTGTCTGGCTGTCAGTGTGTGTATGTCAGTGTGTGTCTTAGTGATTGTGTGTGTATGGCTGTCAGTGTGTGTCTTGCTGTCAGTGTGTGTGTGTGATTGTGTGTGTCTGGCTGTCAGTGTCTGGCTGTCAGTGTGTGTCTGGCTGTCAGTATGTGTGTGTGATTGTGTGTGTCTGGCTGTCAGTGTGTGTATGTCTGTCAGTGTGTATCTGAGTGATTGTGTGTGTATGTCTGTCACTGTGTGGCTGTCTCTTAGTGATTGTGTGTGTCTGGCTGTCAGTGTGTGTATGTCAGTGTGTGTCTGGGTGATTGTGTGTGTCTGGCTGTCAGTGTGTGTATGTCAGTGTGTGTCTGAGTGATTGTGTGTGTGTCTGTCACTGTGTGGCTGTCTGTCAGTGAATGTGTTTGTTTCAGAGTGATTGTGTCAGTGAGGGCACCTGTGTGTCTGAGTGATTGCGTGTGTGTGTGTGTGTCTGTCTGTCAGTGTGTGTCTGTGAGTGAATGTGTGTCTGCATCATTATGTGTATGTCAGTGATTGTGTGTATGTCAGTGATTGTGTGTATGTCAGTGAGTCAGTGATTGTTTGTGTCAAATCCGTGTGTGTATGTCAGTGTATATGAGTGTGTGTCTGTCAGTCAAAGTGCGTGTTAGTCGTTTAACAGGAAGTGGTGTGAGATTGGCAGGAAGGGGTGGGGCAAATGTAAATTAGGGGGTTCCCAGGTTCCGTCATGCCTACGGCAGCACAGATACCAAATGCATCAGTGCCTTGACTAGCAATGTATTTTTGTTTGATTGTTAATGGAGGAGTTCGTGTAGAGGTTCCTAAAAAATAAGATTGTAGAGTCGTCAACTTTTTGGACTTGGAGCATTAATATTTTGAACTGATCTGCTCCTTGTTTGTGAGACTATTGCCTTTTTATCTTCTTTTGGTTTTTAGTTAATTTGTGGTTTTATACCATTTACTGTTTTCCATTTCTTCATACAACTCGATGCCATATCAACAACCATTAATTCCTTGTCCTGATTAGTGCAGACTCTTATATGTATACTACGTGAAAATGAACCCTTTATTGTCACTGAGGAACCAGATCCCACCAGCCTCAGAGAGCTAAACTACTTACTGCGCAACAGGTGGGCGATTCAATAAAATGTCCTCAGACCCAAATACTAACCATGGGGACCCAGCAAACCTTCTCCCACCCACAACTTTTAGGGTGCATTTAATTAGCTGGTAAGATATTGGTGTATCTTATTAATACTTTTTTGGTTAATCTTTATTTTATCTTTTTGTCAGGGTTACCACAGACAAACAGAAGAGAAAGATGAAGTGAGTACAGTCATCTATAAAACAAAGTTATTCCCATACAGCTTTTTAGAACATACATACATGTTCAGCCATACATGACGCAATTCTGAAATCAGTCAAATCTTTGGCCTAAATCTTCAAGCAAAAACTTGTACATTATTCCAAGTGAGGAGAAGAGAGGAAAGCATATATTCGGAAGACAGAATGCTGCCAAAACACTCGCTCCTGCTCCCGGCCCCTCCTGCAACTCTTGGTTTCCGGTGTCCCAGAGCTCCTCAAAATGACAGTCCGATTTATCTTCACAAGATCCCAGTGGGGCCAACAATCCACTGTCCCCTGCCCATATCGTGCCAACTTGACAGGACATGTAAGCATCCCAAGGTCCCACTGCCAGTGCTGTCACTGTCTAAGGACTTTCCATCATTTGCAAAGAGCCGGGGGGCATGCAAAAGGTGAGTTTAATTAACCTAAACATTTCCCTCATGGGTGCCATCATTTTCTTCCTAACAGTCCTCTTCTGCTCCCGCCACTTCAGCACGTGATTGCTCTACTCTCCTGCTTGCACAGAGTACAGTATTGGGGTCTATGGAGGATCCAGTGATAGAGCGAATTTCCTGCAGTCATCACTGGTGACGGCTGTGGGGATTCACACATCTAGACGGCGGTAGCTCCACCCAATGTCTAGAAGTGTTGGGTGTCGAAAAAATACTGAGACAAGGAAAGTAGTCCCTGTTTTATCTCTGTATATCTTCTCACTGGGTTGGCATTTCATTGTAATCCCAACACAGTCAGTATGAGGATTCTGGAAAGATTCTATCATTATGAAATACCAGGTGGTCCTCATTTAGCGACCTACCTGTTTTACGACGGCTCGCACTTACGACCAGGCATAAGTGCAGGCCGTCGTGGGGATTCCCTGCTCTGGTGCACATGTCTATGTATGGGGAAATTTCCCTGAGCATAAATTAGAGGGATTCCCTGCTCTGGTGAGTTCATCTATGTTCGGGGAAGTTTTCCCAAACATAGACATGCGCACCAGAGCAGGGAATCCCCACGATGGCTCGCACTTACGCCTGGTAAATTTCCCCGAGCATAGATTAGACGCATTCCCTGCTCTGGTGCATTCGTCTATGTTCGGGGAAGCAGGGAATCCCTTAACTCCTCACTTGCTGACCAATTCGTTCTACGACCGGGTCGTAGGAACGGAATCCGGTCAGTAAGTGAGGAGTGTTTGTACTCATTTTGCAGGGTGGGTAACAGTGCTGCTATAACCTCTTCTACCCTATCCAGCCACCTCTGCTCAGTGGATGCCTCCAATCTCTTCCAGAGGACAGGTACGAGTGATTTTCCCGCATACAACACGTGACTCAGGATGGACTTTTTATATCTAGAAATTGGAAGGGGTACAAAAAGGAGCGAAGTGTTTTCAATGCGAATAGAGGTGGGGTATCGAATATTTCAGTAAGAGCGTCCAAAACCATCTGCCAGTAAGGTTGGATAGCTGAGCAATCCCATTAAAGGTGCCTAATTGACCATATTATCTGCCACACCATCAGCAGTTAGGTGAAACTGATGGTGAAATTTTACTTAGAGACTTCGAGAGTGCGTTACTACTGAGGTAGAAATTTGTAAATAACTTCCTGATAGAGCTCTTGCAGTGCATGATAAGAACTTTAGAGTAGTGATTAGTTGTGAAAAATGTGTCTAAAATGTTCTCCCATTCCTGTTTAAACTGAGTGGACTCCCCTACCCATCCTCCAACATAAGCCGAGAAAGGTTCTAGATAGCGCTCCCCACACACAGACTTTCAAACCACGTTGGATGCCTATGGAATGTTG